AGAGAAGATCCAGTGAGAATTTAAAATGTTTTAACTAAAAAAATATATTCTTTTTAATCTATTTCCCTAAATAGCTGTTTAATCAATTAAATTAAATTAGCAGAGGGCATTGACAGATTTTAAACAAACCATTGAGGCTACAGAATAAGGGAGATGCTGATCTTAGGTGTATGCAGTTAAGGGGCACCAATGTGCATTTGCAGGGGTCAGGTTGGAAAGCTTGTGTGTTCGGGCCTTATAATATATCTTTCCTGATATTTAAAAATGTTTTCAGATTTTATAACCTCATAAAGCACTCATGCATTGATTCTGTTTACAGCTTGCAGTAACATCTGCCCACACCAGTCCAATGATCTCCAGAGAGTGTCAGGAATGAACACACTAAAAATGTGTTATGAATTTTTAAATCTTTAAAATGCGCATTGTTTGTCCACAATATGTTCTGGATATGACTGAAGAACTATGAACTGACCCTAAGCAATGCTCTTCAAGCAGATTATTCTCTATTTATCTCCAACTTTTTATACTATCGACCTCACTTGCCACTGCTAACCGAACAGTTACCCAAGGTTGCTCATTACGATATTAATACATTATGCCACTCATTAATTGTATAGTAAATCTTGAGCTGAATTCCAAATTTTTTTTTTCTAAACTTGCATTTCTAGTTAAAGTACATAAAGCAAAGTTTAGCTTCCAAAATGGATTATGGAATCTTGTCTCTGCTATGGGTGAGACACGCCACTGCAACAGACGCTTAGACAGGATCATCAGGCCTATGAAACTTAAGTACGCAGCACTAAGAGTTTATGAAGTCTGAGCGGCCTGCAGCCTCCACTTGAATAATGGGATATTTTGGAAAGTTTCTTCCGTGTTCTAACTGATTTGCATTCAGCAGAGGTGATGCAGCAGCCCTTTAAAAACATAAAAATCTTATTCAGATTCAGTGACTTTAAGATTCCTCTCCATGCCTGAATACTTGTGTGACCATCAACCTTAACTTCATATGAGAAGACTATTATTTCCAAAGCAGAGTGACGCACAGTGAGTCAAGCTGAGTTATCTCTAAGAATCACTGTGGAAAGATTTCTTTCTAATATTCTAATCTTTATTTTATTAATTTAATAAGAACTAGAAACTACAATGAAAATGTATCCGCTTGCAGTCAGTGATCGGATTTTTAAAGAGTAAAAAAATGTAGAAGCAATTTACGCTTGATGCCATATTCTTTAAGGAAAGACAAACTGACAATGTATTAATTTTATGCTTCAAATTTGACCTATGATTAATCATTAAATAAACATATCAGCTACATTTTGAATAATCAACTATAATTCAGATTATTCTATTAGCAGACTTTTTTTTTGTTTATTTTTTTCTTTACATTCATATACTTATTACTATTCTTTCAGTTGTTTTAAATTACATTTCCAATTGGTTAACCTTTAGATTAGGAAGATAATTACCTGTTATTTCTGTTATACTTAATGAAGAACCTTTTCTGTTCGATAAAGAGTGATGTATAAAGTTCTAAGCCTTAAGGGTATATTCATTACTGGATTGTTTTTTTGTGAAATTGATGGTTGAAGGTTTCTGCGGAACACTTTTTAACTCGTTCAAAGATCACTTCAAGAGTATCCAAGATGCCATTTTAAAGGCATTAAAAAAGAAGACAGATTTATCTCTCATTTGGGAGATTAGCTATGATGTCAGCAACACAGATCCAAGGGATTTAATCAGTTAGTTATTCAATCCATCTCTGAACAGGTGTGCCTGTTATCAAATATGCAGCCTTTAACGTGTGCCAGATTTCCTGCTTTATAGAAAGAGGTACTGACGATTAGGCTCTATACTAATGACTCGAAAACATGGCAGTGCAGTATGGAGAAAAAGCCTTTTGAACTTGTTTAAAAATGTTCCCATCAAATCGTTCTCTATTGCATTGAATATTGTTTAAAGTTAAAACTTGCAGATTTATTTCTATTTATATTCTGTAACAATATGCAGACAACGCACTTATCTGTTCCTATACTTAAAGCAACAATAGTTATTAATGAAACCAATAAATGCAATTAAAAGCTTAAAATCTTTGGTTTGAATGGAACAAATGTGATTTGCATATGTGCATGAGGGGGTGTGATTGCAGTGTGTAATAATAAGAAAAAGAAAAGCATTTTAGGCTTTCAGAGTAACAAAACCTTACGTACTAATAATAATGAAAAGCATTTTCTGACTTTTAATGAACTAAAAGAGAAGCATCAAAGTGCATGCTGTGTGTTTATGCATTTACAGACTAAAATGTATGGGAGTTCTTAAATCGATGGATTTATTGAAAAGAACAAAAATCTATATTTTGAACAATTAAAGCTGATCAAATGGTAAATGGTAAATGGCATGTACTTATATAGCTCCTTTATTCAAGTCAGCAGACTTGACCAAAGCGCTTTACACTACATTTATTCACCCATTCACGCACACACTCACACACTGATCAAGGGAAAATTGGCCCTATTCCAGATCAGAGAATTTGCCTCAAACAAAAGCAGAAAGCAGTAAACGTAAAGTAGCCCAAAGATTCTTACACAGCTTTGTTTTTTTAACTACTGCACATACTGTACAACAGGGAACATGAGAAATAGTGATTCGATTCCAGCAGCTACAGGGTGGTAGGAGTTAATACAACAAAACTACTTTTATTTGGCTTTGAAAAAAATTTTTTTGTTTGTCTGTTTGACTCGTTAACAGCTTCTCAGATGTCTTGGACAGTTAGTGTTTTTTTTTAAGTGTGCTTTTTCCAGCATAAGAGACAAAATGAGTCTCTATGCATGGAAGAGTTTAATGAGCACCTGTTGTGTTAAATGTTTCACGACTCTGCTTCCTGCAAATTGCAAATTTCCACAATGTGAAACATATGACAAAAAAATAATAGGCTCTGAATTTCAAGTGCTTTATCTATTAAAATGCCTATTAAGAGCCTACAAAAATGTCTTTTCGTATCTTCTTTGCTTAAGGAAATGTAATATGTATGCAGGGTACACTATGTGTCTAGACTGCAGAAGAATGGCATCTTTTTTTAGAGGAAAATTTTTATATTCGCTAATCATCATTTATATAAAGCACCTAAAAACACTTTTTTTCCCCCAACAAATGCAGGGAGAACAACTCAAGCTCAAATATTTCTTTTTTTTTTTACTTGTGTACTTTGTACTGTTATTTTAAGTACTATTGCTGCAATACATGTGTTCATCTTGCAAATATTTTGGTCTTCACATGTTGTCACCTTGTTTTTGTACAGGCAATATTACTAAGATATAGGATGTCAAAATTAAAAACTTAAAAAAAAGAAACATCCTTCAATGACTCCTCCTTCTCTAAATCACATCTATAGCCATCTCTATCGTTTGGCAACTGACCCCAAAGCAGAGTTAATTGTCACAAAGTAACAAGGGTTGGTTTTCCCTATAAAACAATAGGGTTTAATTAAAAAAAATACATATTTTGTTTTGTTTGAAGATATGGAACTAGATTGTATCATCACTCTATGTCAAAATACATTTTTATTCAATAATCATGGTATTACTTCTCTGAAACACATATCTTCTATTTCAACATAGATTACAGTCTATGATTACAGCATTTGTGATTGACCGTCATCCCGAGTCCTCAGTCTTGCAGAGTTTTTCGTGTTTTGATTTTTAAAGCAAATATTTCTAAAAAAATAAAAAATAAAAATAGGATTCTGTTGTGAGAATTCTTTGCAGTGTTTCTGAGGCTTTTATTTTGTTTATCTTGATAACAAAATTATTGCAGATCTACCAAAGTTTTTTCATATAAAGCCATAAACTACAGTACTTCAAAAGCAGATACAAGCAAATCCACTTTGTGCTTAAAACATTAACCTTAACTTAGTATCAATCCTGTGAATTTTTTTATTTGATTAGGGAAACCGATAAGATAAACCGAACAAAACCTTGAAAAATGAAAACATAATCCTAATATATGTGTATATATATATATATATATATATATATATATATATATATATATATATATATATATATATATATATATATATATATATATATATATATATATATATATATATATATATATATATAAATCTGCCCAATTTTACTCATAAAATCAATGTTTTTGATAAACTAACAAAAAGAGCTTAACTACAAAAAAATATTGAAGCAGCTGAAGTCCATAGATTTCTTCGTTTAAACATGATGTTAATTTCCTAAGATATCGTTGTTATAACATTGTTGTTGTAACATTGTTAAGCTGGTCACTGTCAGTCTTATAAGGGTCTGAACATTTCAGAACCATAATGACTAATTCAAAAGTGGATCAAAAAGTCACTACTGCACAAACAAATATATATATATATATATATATATATATATATATATATATATATATATATATATATATATATATATATATATATATATATATATATATATATATATATATATATATATAAACATATTAATAATTCATAATTATTATTTTTTTATCACATATTTACTTGTAAAAACCGAGTGGACAACATAATGGCAACAGAGCCACCTTTTACACCTGGTTTATTTTTTGAGTCAAAAACTGGACAGTCTGGTCTTAAACAATCAGTGAACATATAAACCTCACACACCTACTTGTTGGCAAGGCTTAATATCAATAACTAGAAGCAAATTCCCTCACTTTAATAAATAAACCTGCCAGATCCATAGCTACATCCTTTTGCGCAAGCTGGGGATACATGAAGGGTCCTAATCAATATCCTGTTAGATAAAGCCCTTAAGGCAGTCCTACTGGCCCCTCACTGGGGGACCGTTAAGTGACAGGTGGTTGATGTGCTGCTGATCAGTAGGATGAATAGTCAAAGTCTCTAAAACGAACTCCATGTCAATCAAAACGGACCCAAATGAATTATAAAGACTGGAAATCAATAACTATTAATTGATACTGAACAGTCAGAAAGGCTGCAGACTTACCTGGGATCTCCTGGTGAGGAACATGTGTGAAGATGAAGCCCTTCTCAGAGCAAGCCTCCCTCACCTCGCTGCAGTTCCGCGCTAAAAAATCAGATTTTGCTGCGACTGACAGCACAGAAAAAGTGCAAATGATGCTCTGAAGTCTCAGCATTGTTCACTTCTGCAAAGATCCTTAAGTGACAAAGGTCCCCGGCCGCATAAAAACAAAAACAAACTCCCCCCTCCTGCAGCAGATCCGCAGGTATACTTATTGACTGCTCATGTATAATGTTTGGAGCTCAACTAGTATGAATGTCTACCGAGACATTTCCAGGAGCAGAGTGGCGGATCGAAGCGCAGCTGAGAATAGGTGGCGCAGAGGAAAGGACTGTGGAGGTGCCACATGAACCCAGGAGGGTGGCTCAACTTGGTCCAGCGAAAGGATTCCCTCTGGACTCTGCGCTGGAGTGGAAATGTGCTGTGAGGAGCGCTCTGTGCTGGGATCAGACTGCTTGGCAAGGCAGAGAGGGACGCAAAATGTGGAGTGGAATCAAGCCGCATCCATTTCAACTAAGCTCCAGGGAAAATATAGATTTAAAAATATGTTGTCATTCCAAGAAAAGATGCCTAACACAAATTAAAATGAACTTTGTTTTTCTAGATCATAAATGTCCTCAGATTTCTTTTTTTTTTTAAATCCGATATTAAAACTCAGAACCAGGGAAGGAACTAGATGGGGGGCCAGGGGTGGCCATGGATCACCCCTACCATTTCCCCCCCCCCCCCCCCTCTAATACAGATGGTGGCAGCAGTAATACTCTCAAGTGGAATATTCAAAACATTTTAATTATTCATATATTTCTTACTATTTTTTCATATTTTAATAATTACTTAACAAAAACCCTGTGGTTAATTATGCACATCAATAATACTAACATTAAAAATGATAAGTACAGAATTCATGCTCTTTTCAGAACTACATTTCCTGTTTCATGGGGTAAAGAGAAAATGATGTGTCTCTGCATTCATCTAGGAGTCCTCAGTGAAATCATAGATAAATAACTATTTTAATTAAAAAAAACATATTAAATAATCAATTTAGACAATGTAGACATTAGTACTTGTAAATATAAATTTCATGCAGAATGATTATTGATAAAAGTAGGTAAGTAATGACAATGGAAAATATGTTCACCCCACAACTCAAACCTGAAAGTATTTTATCCACTATACCTTTTATCTAGAAAGCACAGATGTTTAAATATATGCGTAAAGTAAAGAAGAGTAAAGAAGTTTAATCAGTACTTCCACTTTTACCAGAGTATTTTTTAACACAAGTATCTGTACTTTTACTCAAGTACGGAAAGTGAGTACTTTTTCCATCTCTGTTGATATTACACAATTTCATGCAATATATATAATTAGGGGGTCCCCACTCCATCTTGCCATCAGTTTGGGGGTCCTTGGCCTGGAAAACGTTGAAGACCCCTGCCTTAAAAGACATAATGACCTTAGCATGGGTAAAGTTTTGAAAACAGGAATAGTTTGGTTTGATTCAATATCAGACAGAAAGGAAAATAATACGTATGTATTTTTCTACAATGTATGTGGATATACCTAGACACATGGACAGAATTTTGATTTAGACCTTTACAGGTGTAAACAATCAAGGATTTCTTAACTCTTGGACATTTAGTTGAACTTTGATCTTTGGTCAAATGGCATTAAGATCAGTCTTTTGGTTTCAAAATACTGGAGGTGGGGTTTGGGTAAAATAAAGGCTAATCTGTGGGAAAGCTGTTAGACTTTTATCTATATTCCATTCAGTCTAGTGGAGGATCATTCCATGTAGGCTCCAACCTTGGTAGATATTATACAGTAAATGACAACTAAGTACTGTCTTACCAAAAAACTTTTACTACAGCCATAACAGCCATAGTACTAATTAAGCACAAAATGTTTTTGTAAAGATAAAACATTTTTCCCCAAAAGAATAAATAACTCAAATTACAGGTTGGATTTATCAACAATTTTCCTTTTAGATTTAAGATAATTTTTCTGTGGTAAAAGATTAACTTGTTTTTAGGATTTTTAAACACACCAACACATTGTTCTGTGTCTATAGTTTATTAAAAGATACAATAGGAAAACATTTTTAAAACACTGTAAGCATTGGAGAAAAATTGGCTCACATACATCACAGTGAGTAAAGATAGAAAATCTCTAATAACCCAGTGAGAAAAGATTTGCTTTGTGGCTGAAAAAAAATGAGATTGAATTTCTTTTCTTCCCTTTTCAGACCGAAACACTTTATTTATTTAGATTCTGTCTATATCCATTCTCATCCACCAAAGGTGACCATGCTAAAGAAAAGAAATGTTAGTCATTTTCTTTTCCTTTAACACATGCAAAATTAATACAGTGAATACACTGGTACTGTTAGGAGCAGAAGGGGCTATTGATTTTTGAACAGCTTGATCCTTTCCTAGATCAACAGTGGATTAATGTGGGTTCTTTTATGATGTGAAGGATTGGCATTAGTATGGGGGTGGCACCACCTTGTTAACGTGCCTTATAGTGTGTCAAAGGTAAACCTTGCACAGGATAATTTTGGATCAGGTTCCTGTCTAAGAGAGGGACCAGTCCTTTATTGTTTTTCTTTACTTAAAACATATTGTATACTTTGTTTAGGGGATCATATTTTAAGACTTTAAACAGGACTGTTGAAGTCATTAGAAAAATCATACCCATCTGTCAATCCCCCCCATTCACAGATCAGTGAGAATTTTTAGGGTCTATCACACACAGTGCCTTGAAATTTCTCATATGTCACACTAAAAGTTAATGTTTTTAATGTATCTTATCTGGATTCTATATATTAGAGGTAGTCCGCATTTTTGAAGTGAAAGAAAAAGAAACATAGGGTGATATTTTTTGACAGGAAATTCCTGTCAGAGATTCTGAATAAACTTCATGAATTAATAATCATCCAAGTTATCAAACAATATAGGCAATTTCAGTTTTTTATTCAACTTGATAAACAGTGTTCTATATGCTGATGAAGGTTCTCAGTCATCCAGGTCATAGTCATTCCGTAAAAATTAAAAAAGTATCCACTGGACTTGGTTTTCAAGATTTGAAGACGTTTCGCCACCTCTCCAGGAAGCTTTCTCAATTCAAATGTGAATTCATTCATTTGAATTGAGAAAGCTTCCTGGAGAGGTGGCGAAACGTCTTCAAATCTTGAAAACCAAGTCCAGTGGATATTTTTTGAATTTTTACGGAAGTGTTCTATATGACAAAAGCTGATATTGAATCACTAGATTACAATATTTACTCCTCAAGGATGAGTATGTAGCAACAATGGAAAGAAAAACTCACCTTTAATAGGAAGAAATCTCCAACAGAATAAAACTCAGTGTAAGGTATGGCGTCACCTGTCACAATCAACTGAGGGGGCGTGCAAAGACGGCATACACACACACACACACACACACACACACAAAAATCAAAACTCAGAAGAACTGATTTTTGGGTGCATTTAACGTTAAAGAAAAGTAGATTTTAGTATTGGTAGTATTAGTTCCTTTAGTGCTATTATTTTGGAGAGAAACACAGCTTAAGACCTTAAGCTTTATTTAAGTCTACAAGTTAAAAGAGAGGCTACACAATTGGTCACAGTAAGGGTCAGACAAAAGCTTTGTCTAGGAGAGAGACAGGTTTACACACTGAAATAATCCATCCATCTTCTTCTGCTTTATCCGGGGCCGGGTCGCGAAGGTAGCAGTCTAAGCAGAGATGCTGCTCTGGGGGGGACCCCGGGGGACCCCGAGGCGACACCAGGGCAGCTCAGAGACATAGTTCCACCAGCGTGTCCTGGGCCTTCCACAAGGCCTCCTCCCAATGGGACATGCCTGGAACACCTCCCGAGGTAGGTGACCAGAAGGCAATCAAATCAGATGCCCGAGCCACCTCAGCTGGCTCCTTTTGACATGGAGGAGCAACGACTCTACTCCAAGCTCCTCCCGGGTAACTGAGCTCCTCACCCAGCCACCCTGCGAAGGAAACTCATCAAGCCCAGAGATACTTGAATTCCAGGGGATGTATAAGAATGAGGGCAAGTGGGCATTATATGTCCACCATCCTTCCTTTATGTCAGCAAAATGATAAACAGAATTTTTAGCTTTATCAAAAAGGAATACTTTAAACTTAGTCCCAAAAATTAATGCCTTACAGACTGAATAATGGGAGCTGGCTCCAAAGGAGAAGATCTTATAACTGAACAATCTGCTTCACACCAGCTGTAGAGGTGGTCAGCAGCACCTAATTCCTGGGGGTGCACCTCACAGAAAACCTCAACTGGACTATGAACACCACCTCACTGGTGAAAAAAATCACAGAAGCCATTGTACTTCCTGCAGAGGATGAGGAGAGCCCACCTGCCCCCACCCATCCTCACGACCTTATACATAAGCACCATAGAGAGCATTCTGACAGGCTGTCTCACTAGGTGGTGGTGGTGCGAGAAGAGTGGTGAGAACAGCAGAGAAGATCATCTGGGTTCCTCTTCCCTCCATTGAATTTCATCCCAGCACTGCATGTCCCGAGCCGTAACATCATAAATGACCCCTCACCCCCCCACCATGGACTGTTCTCCCTGCTGCCCTCTGCGAAAATGCTTGGCAACATTCGATGCAGGTCCATGAGAATCCAAAACAGCTTCTTCCTCGCTGCCATCAGATTGCTGAAATGTAAAAAAAGAATAAATCAACTCTAAATCAAGCCACAGATTGCATCCCTACTGATAACACCTAATCAAAATGAAGCTAAAAAAAAAAATCTTCATATATGCACCATATCTATTTGTCTTTGCACTGCCCTGAACTTCCATATCAATGCGTTTTTGCACCATGCTTTTCTTTCACACTTTTTACATTTGATAATTGTTGCACTTTATGAAAATGGAAATGTTAATTTCACTGCTAAGCTGCATATTTACGGTCTGAAAGCTGTACAAAACAAAATTTCATAAAAGTTTTCTAAGTCTCTAAGTCTTAGTCTAAGTTCACATACTGTCACAGTCTTGGTTTGTTAGTTCCTGTCTTCCTGGTTTTCCATTTGTTGTCCTCTGCTGCCCTCTTGTGTCCTCTTTCCCTAGCTCTGTTTTCTGCTCTGCCCTCACCTGTTTTCAAGCCCCTCGTTAGCCCTCTCTTTGTCTCTGTCCCCTTTAAAAGCCCTCCCTCTTCAGTTCCTGTTTGCTGGATCCTCGTCAAACGTCTGTCTGCTTTCCTCGTCTCTCCCTGGCTCCTAGAGTTTGGTTTTCCCCTGATGTCTCCCTGGTTCTGGTTCGTTTGTAATTTCTGTTGGATATTTGATTCCTGCCTCAGCTCCTGTGAACCTTATTAAACCCACCTAAATTCACCTCTGCCAACTTGCCTCTGCATTTGAGTCCTCATTCAACACCAAATCCTGACACATACAGTGTATTCTCTCTTTAATT